TGTTGCCTTTGCACAAACATGCTCATTATGAACAACTCAAACTGTCAAGTCAGTGTTTTTTGGGAAAAATACTGAGTGAGAAAAAGTAAAGCGACTGGATCAACATTCCAGTGTCTCTGCTTTTAAAGATAATCATAGGCTACACCGTGTCCTTGACTTGGAGCAAAATGAAGCTCAGCTTTAGAGAAACAGACAAACAGAGCCAGATGGACGAAAAGACAGACATGTCCAAAATACTCTTGAGCTTTGACCCCTTGTTTTGATACACATCAGTGCTTCAGTTGGAGTAAAAAACTGCACCTCAATACCTGTTGGTCCAAATACTTTGTATAGAGGAAGGGCTGCTCGTCCCGTCCTCTGCACTCACTGGAAGTGTTTTATTATGAGAGTGTGACCCACTTTGGCTGGGAGCACTCGTGTGCACATGTATTTATTTTCCACTGACCTGGGTGGGGAGTAAACACCAGAGAGGTCATAGTGAAACAGCACGTTGTTTTTTAAATTTATTTCTCAAACATGGACGTGTTGTGAAAAGGGTATTTCAAGTAAATGATGCATCTTGAGGGTACATCCAGACAGTGTATCCTCTCAGAAATACTCATAACACACGTTCAAAGAGGACTTTCAGGCTACGTTGATATTAATAGCACAATCATGCTGCCTTTCCGAAAATACATTTATGCAACACAGTTGGTGTTTCCTGTTCCTTATGTGACGTTGTTGTCTGCTTCAATGTGTCAGGAGATTTGATCGGACCACACTAGTGCAGCAGAGGAGGAGATTAGTCATGGAAAGTACCACTGCAATGGTCAGTTCTAGTTTAGCACAATAATGTATTTATTCACTTTCTCAAGCAGCCATCAAAGTTTAGGAATGTCCTGGAATAAAGACATTTGTATTTTTATTCTCGACAGACCTGTAAAACTGAGTTTCTCCAAAAATATCATGAAAAAGTACAACCTTAAATCGTATGTTTACCAGATATGTGCTCATTTGCTTTTTGGATATAAGTCACTCAGCATGAAAACTAATCAAAAACTAATCGACAAAAGAAATCCTTGTCCACTAGGACCAAAATGACTAATTACTAAACCAAGAGAAGGCAGCATAACCAACCCAGATTCCTAACCTGATTTATTTCCTTTTCTCCCATCCTGTGTCATCCGTCTCTATTCTGTATCTGCTCAAACTGCGGACAGCTAGTGTAAACCCTTACAGTGCTCTCTGTCCAGAGTCCATGTTACATAACTTCTAGTTAACCTACATTATGGCAGCCTCTCAGGATTGTGCTACTGGCTCTTGTGGCCCCGTTTTCTCAGTCAAGCTGTGCCAGCGATGGCCCACATACAGCAGTAAAACTGACAGAGTTAGACAAAGCTTCAGGCATGTGAAACTACTGTGCCCCAGTTCCTCCTTCCTTCCTGGTGGATACTATCTCTAGAAAATAACCCCTCTTTTTAAGATCACCATTCCGTTGTCCTGGGCATAACAGGAAGTATCAGGTAGCGTTGCATTGGGGGGTGGGTTATTGCTTTCCAGTCAGATAGTAATGTAAGGTGCTAAATGAAGCCACATGCTGCTCAGTTTTGTTTTCGTGAAAAATACTTCCTTAACGACAGAACTAGCCCTCATAATATTGGGTGATTGAGTATACATTATTTGTTTTTGTCTCGCTGAATTGTTACTACTGCTACACTCATACAAATGTCATTTGTACATGAGTTGGCTCCTTTATACATAGACTCTGATGTCATGTTTTGACAGCCGTCACCATGGTCGCAAGGGCAAATATAGCCCAGCTGTTTCTATTTTAGAGGATTGGTAAAGCAGTGAGTCATTATGTTTGCCTTCATCACTAGCAGCAGCAGTAGCAGTAGCATGATTCCTCTCAACACTGTCATCATCTTTGCAGTCATTTCTTTAAGAGTTGGTATTCTTGGGTTTGTAGTCCATTTATTCTGAATGCAGGTTTACTCGTGGTGTTCATGTCTAAAGCAGGACAGTCAGTTTCCTTGGTTTCAATGTAGACTTTCAATGAATGTTTAGAACATTAAAGGGGATAGTTATGGAATTCAGTGCACAGGGAATGCCCAAGGCCGGATTAACCATATGGGCAACCTGGGCAGGGGCCCTTGAGCAAAGAGGGCTCTCAGTGATAAGATAAAAAAAAAAAAAAAACTTTAAGATTTTTTTTCTTTCGTGCACAACCTCTCTCATCATACATTGTTTTAAATGACACTCACTCTTCGCCATAAATAACACAGCTTTTCCATAGGGTCAAATTACTGTAGGTCTCTGTACTGTAGGTCTCACTATGTATGCGCTCAACTTTATTACTACGCGGCGGAGGTGTATAGCCGAATCACAGCCCCACCCTTGAGCAACCACACAATTTCACTACATATTTTACTTTTGTAACTCTCGGTGTTTGTGACAAATAGAACTCCTCGTGTACATGTACAGCCAGCCAGTCATATTTTGGCATTAAGTGGGGTGCTGTTCTGAGGTTTTGATTGATATTACCTAGGTCTTCTTGAGCCACACACTGTCTTGAGATCTTATCCATTGTATCTTTGTCTTGTGATTTTTGACTGAAAGGGCAAAAGGCTAGACCTACTTTGGTTGAACTATGTGGCCGCGTCCCTGCTTTTGACAAATAGGTGTGCGATTTGACATGCCAGATTGACTGAAAATTCTAAATATTGGTCATGTTGGTAGGATTGGGTAGGCGTGGTGTTACTTGTTGGTACGTGNATCAACAAAATACATCTTATTATCTTATACCAACAGAACTACGCCTATATTGCGTACAGCGCCTATAAACTATGGCGTACCCCCCAACTTGATTTGGGGAGGGGGTACGCCATAGTTTATAGGCGCTGTACGCAATATAGGCGTAGTTCTGTTGGTATAAGATAATAAGATGTATTTTGTTGATCCAAAATCGGGAAATTGTGTTGTTATGAAATAAAAATAAAAAATATTAAAAAAAAATCTAACTTAAAAAAAAAAATAATAATAATAATTTTGGCGCCCCCCATTGATTGATGCGCCCTTAGCATTCGCCTATACTGCCTATGCCAAGGGCCGGCCCTGAACGGAGGCTCCACAACCTTTCTCCGCCAGATCGTCAAGTATCAGCCGTATCTCGCGTCTCTCCTCCTGTACAAAGCACCGTAGTGTGGAGTTGCATTAGGTAACGCGAGATACGGCTGATACTTGCGCATTAGTTTCTGTTATGGATCAGTATAAACAGTCCTGCCAGTAACGTTACTATATTATCAATGCTACTTTAGTTATAGCCTGATATATGATAGTTAACTTTACAATGTTGTGATGTGACGTTAGCTAACATTCTGTAGCTAACTCCGGTCACTCACCAAGATAGCTGCCCAGTTCTCCACTGGTTCTCCTCACACCACAGCTCAATTTCTCTCCGATGGCCGTTATTTCTTCTAATCCTTGGCTGCTCCTGGTCTCTTGGATGCCTAGCAGGCTCATAATTATAAGGTTGTGGTCCGTCATATGCATTCGAATATTCATGTTCAACTTCTTCTGTGTCTTCTGTGTTGAAACTAGCATTGGGATCCATGTTTATTAATACGTTACACCGGCCGCTCTCCCCCTTATGTCCCCCGTGTTACGTCACACGCGGGAGGTCACGTGCCGAGGCTTTTTTATGCGGAAGTGAACATTTCTTACAAAAACGACGCCAGATGTCACTGTAGTGTAAATTTCTGTATATTTTTTTCAAAATCTAGTGTATTCATCATTTTCCTACACATTTATTCACAGGTGTCTTTAACCTGAAAGTTGCTCTTTCTGAAAAATGAAAGACAATGAGGATTTGAAAGTTACCAGAAACTGTGTTCAGCTGATTTTAGTGTCACTAAATACTGGATGTTTTGCATAGTAAACACCACGGAAATTGTTAACCAGACAAAATAATCCAGATTTTAAATTGCTTTTTACGTTTTCTGATAGAGGAACTCAAACCACTTACCAATTAGTATTCAAGTTTATAATCCTAAATGAATTGCGGCCTGGTTCTGCTACTTGAATTATTGTTGAAAAAACGTTACATGACTAAATATAAAGAGGAGAAATTGAAGGAGAGAATTTTTAAAAGTAATGTCTACTTTAGTGTGACAATACTACACCCTCCAACATTTTATGAAATCAAAACTGTCTCAAAAAATGTCATCTTCCCTCGAAATTGTTTATTTTCTTATTAGATAAAATAAGAGAATTATCAAAGTTAAATGCTAATACAGTAAAAATGTCCACTTGTTTTAACTCATGTACAATGTTGGCAGATCGACTTCTGATAATCACCAGCTGGACGTTTATAAGTTATTAATTTACCCCCATATCACTGGTTGTAACAATAAAGTGTGAACACAACACAACAGTGTTGTGTGTGGGCAGCAGTGACAGAAGAGCGTCTCCTGCCTCTGTGTGTGTCACCGTCTGCGTCAATACAGTCCGGAGAGCCAGGAGAAAGGACTATGTGGAGCAAGATTATTCCCGCTCCCAGACACTTCCGGGTTCGTTTGGCAGAGTAGTTGTTAACCGGCTAACAATATGATTTTCCTACCTACAAGTATTAGAAATATATATTAAAGTATACCGTTGAAAAACGTTCCTCGTGTTTGAGCTGTATATCATGTTTAGTCATTTGGTTTGAATGCACGACGTTGTACCAATACTAGTATTTGTGTTTATGAGAGCGTTGTGGTGTTGTTTTTTTAACAGTTACTACGTTGTGACTGTTTAATGAAGTAGGCTATCGCGTCTATTTGATACTTTTAGCTTTTTCTCTGACTTTTCGTACTCAAACAATAAAGTTGCAAGCTCTTCTGACAGTTGTACTTTTCTGCAAAGTCTATGGCGCTTCCAAGCGGGGGTTACTATCTTGCTGCACTCGTCTCTTTGGCTGCTGCCAGCCAGTCCTCCCATGTTCACAGTGGTACTACGGTGTAGCTCCACATAAACACAGAGGGACACACAATGCTCAGCTGGCGGGACCGCGGACAAGACCAATAACTTCGTGTCAAATTCAAGCTTTTATTTTGTTATTATGCTGTAATTTACTTCGTGGTGAGTAACTAAAAAACACATCACAGTCTTTTTTTTGTTAAGCGTTATAGACTGTCACTATTTATTGTGGTTTTGGCTTGGGTTATCATATTTTATGTTTATAACTTCGTGATATGTTTATCTAGTATAGAGTAGTATGGGACATACTGGCAACCTATACACCGTTACTGTAGAACTTGACCGTTTTATGAAGAGTCTAAAAGTTGTACACTACTGTTTAAACAACTTCCTATCACAACGACACGGTCTCCTGTGTGTATGTGCTGCTGTGAAGGAGCAGAGGCCGTTTGGTCTCTGTTGAATGGGACTGTGGCTGCTGGTGTTGCTGCTGTAAAGACAGGGAAACAGTGTTGTCATAGCTGACATGGTCGCCGTGTGTCTCCCCGAGAGGTGAAGAGGTCAGCTATCTAATGACTGTTATTATGCCAAACAGGAAACGACTTGTGCACTTCTCCAATGAAAACTCGGTCTGACATCCGTGCAACATTCCTGTAGGGATTTAAATTGTGTAAATACAATAGTGACATTATTGGCTACTTATATTCTACGTCATGATCGTTTTTTATTTCACGATATTTATTTACCTAATATCACGAAATATTGCGACGATATTGTAGGATCTATTATGGGGGCTTAATTATTTATACAAGGAGATTTTTGATAAATAATCATCAGTAATATGGTTATAATGACTTAGTGAGTAATGAACAATAATACAAAGTAGAACATTAAATTACCAAATTTTAATGGAGCCTTCAAAACCAGGAAAAACACTTGTGCCATTTTACGATATGCAAACTACGAACTGGATATCTAGGCTCATATCAAAATATTGTTATAATATTGATAATATTGCCCAACCCTGCCATAAAAATGCACTGCAGTCTTTTGTCTTAGCTTTTCAGTACATACAGTATAGTCCCCCCTCCTGTATCGCACAGTGCACGTACACTTTGTGCTTCTGCTGCTTTGAACCTTTAAATTATTGATGTGGTCTCAGCGGATACAGTAAAGCCTCTCCACTCTGTCAGATTTTAACAGTAATACATGTGATATAATTGGAACAAAAGGCAAATAAAATAACACTGCAATTATGCAACATTCATTAGATAGGCTGTCTTTTTGGGAGCCATGCATATGTTTTTTAAGTAGAGCTAAATCTAAATGCTTATGCAGCACAGGCACAGGGTTCTACTGTGTAAACAGTAAAATGACACAAGAAGTTGTATCTTGTTTCACCGCTTATTTGCTGATGGATCCAGGAAGTTGCTCACTCTGAGTGCACCCACCCACACACACACACAACACACACACACACGCGCGCGCACACGCACACACACACACACACACACACACACACACACACACACACACACTGACTGGTTGAACTATTTGCTTACTACATACAATCAGAGGCCCCTTGTCTTGTGGACTCAGAATGAGTCTGAGTTGTGGCAAGGCGACGGCCTGTCAGGGCAGACGACAGTAGACAGTAGACAGTGTTTTATTTTATTTTTCTGACCAGACTCCTGACCTGGTGTAATTTCTGTTTATGAAAGTAAAGATAAGCTCGAGGGGACTCGAGGGGAAGTCAGTCTAAATCCTGGTCAGCTGATGTATTACTGTCATGTATTGGACCATGCTGGAGTTTACAGTATGGCTGCACGAAATGAGGAAAATGTTACCAGAAATATCGTAATTACAACATTACTTCTATGTCTGCTACATTAGGGATACAGATAAAATAAAACAAATAGCTTTGTTAGGATATTTTTTTTGTCGACTTAAATAAAACAGAATATTGTTGTTTTGGATTGTTGTTCGGACAAAATAAGACATTTGCAAGTAGCTTTAGGGAAATTGTGATTTGCCTTTTCAGTATTATCTGATATTTTATGGACCAAGAGAAAATATACCAAAAACTAAACAATAGCTATTGGCATGATATTCAATAGCTCATAGGTCACTACGTCCAAAATGACTTCAATGACAGCTTTAAACATATTCTGCTAACTTGACCTATCTAACAGACTATTTTGAACAACACAACAGCTTTTCTTTATTTCACTGTAACACCACTCTGCTTAGGTATTTTACTCAGTGGCTCTGCACAGCCTTGCTTAAGCTTGTAACCCTGAATGTATTCATATTTAGACTTATTCTCCATGTTCACATCCAAAAATAGCATCCACTTGAACCATTACACCCCCCCAGCCCTCAGCATGCAGCCATTGGACGGTCCGTTTCCACGTTTTCTTCACAAAAAACTTGAGGAATCATTGGAATGTTAATTACTCTGCGGAGAAAAGCAAAAGACCTTCTTAATCTTTTTTGTTTTACTCTCTAAAGTGCCAGCTGGTTTGCAAGCGAGAGTTAGGAGTGCTGTTCATATTTGTACACCAATAAAACATCAGTTTGTGAGATAACAACTATCAAGATGTCATTAGCCTAAACAAACTCATGCCCTGAAACCGGCTCGACCTGCAGCTCTCACCAGGAAGACCTTTCAGTCCTACAGCGATCATTTCATTTGATTTGCCTGTATATTTGTTCTGTCAAACAGAGCAGGGAACACAGCATTGTTATTATTTTTTTGCTATTGCTATTTGTTGATTTACATAAAGTCTGATCTTATGTTGCTTGGTTAGGAATGCTCTTTGGATTTATTGCAACTTGTTTTTTGCCTGTTGGATTGTGTATTTTTAACCACAGTGCGGTAAATATTCAAACCAATGCTCCTTCTTCTTTATGTTCACACAGAATGTATATCATCCACCACGACCAAACAATGCGAGGCATCCTTAAGAGAAAGTTTGCGGAGGTAGATCCCTGCTACTCCTCTTCCTCCTCCTCCTCCTCCTCCTCTCCCCCGTCCTCCCTCTCCTCCCCTGCCTCCTCAGAGTGGGAGTCCGACGGGGAAAGCGGCCCCTCCGACAGCCAGGACTTCACACCTCACAGTCCTTCTTCGCCCACCAGTTTACCCAGTAAGTCAAACCAACAACCAATCATTTCCCCCCCCCTCCATTTTCAAATGATGCAAACCTCGTCCATATCTGGCTTTGTATCCCCTCAGTGTTTAATAGGAGTGTCTCTTATCAGCCCGCAGCAGCACCGATATGAAAACACTAACCTTCTAGATAATGCACAGAGAATGACCCGCCTCTGTCCGGTTGGGTAGAAGATCATTTGCCTGAGCAATAGGATGTTGTGGAATTAAATTTGAATAGCAAGATCCTTTTAAAAAAAAGTCAATCAAATGGCATTATTAAGATATCACAAAGCTGCAACGAGGGCCTGCAAGGACAAGATACTCTGCAGTTGTTGTGCACTTGATGTACAACAGCTCCAGGCTTGTTTTCTGTTCACTATTGAGTCAGGGTGCAAACAGTGCCCCAGTGTGGAACTCTTTAGACACACAGCAGCGGAGATGAGCTCCGTCAGCTGGTCTCTGTTGTTTACTGACTTTTAGAGTTCGGCCTCAGTTATGTGTGAAGGTTTGAAGAAAAACTTTCAAACAAAACAGTCATCTAATAAATATTGAAGACTAAACTGTCAGATGAATTAGGATCTTGTAAACCTCATTTGGACACGGCAGTACTTCTTGTCTCTATTCATCTGTCCATAGACCCTTTGCCTGGTATTTCCTCCCAACATGTTTTTTGTTGAGACAAGCCACTTCACTGAGGCACCTGTAGTGTGTCACCTAGTGGCCACTTGGAAAACTACAGCACACAGAGCACGTGTCAAAGTTCAGTGGCTCAGCTGTATTTATCAAGTCCAAGTATCCTTTCTCGGAAATGCACTAAAGATTCAAAGAATACTCCGCCTGACCGTTTGTATATCATTAATCATCCCTTGTTATGCAGTTTTTGTGAATACGTTTTTAGTGTTCCTCCATGCTGGACAAATAATCAGAAGTCTTGATTAGTTGAAGTAAATGGGGGAAAAACTATATCAAAACATCTGTTCACAAACCCTCACTTAACTTGTGCAGTATAACCCAATACTCATTTGCTCATTACTTCACAAAACATTCACAAGAACAGAACAATCACTTCTGCAACAATTAGAAAGTAGTTTGTTTTGTAAGAGTTTCTAAACGGCTGTTTTGATCAAGTTTTACTGTTGTTAAATGCAGCCCCCATTTACTTCAATGTATCAAGAATTGTATCTCTGTTTTTTTTTGTTTGTTTATATAGTAGAGGCCTGCGAAAAAAAAATTCTTCAGGATTTCATAAACGCACCACTGTGATAATCTTTGATGATGTAGGACTAATTAATTTGACAAGGGGCCTGTTTCATAGTGTATCATGAGTATCTGCAGTGCCTCACTTTTGTTTGTTCCTTATTTGAAGCAGTTCGGTCTATCCTGAAGAGGACGAAGCTCAGTGCAGGCCCGCAGAGTAACGTGCGCTTTGACCAGGTGACGGTGTTCATCTTCCCCCGCTGTCAGGGCTTCACCAGCGTGCCCAGCCACGGGGGGGCCACCCTGGGCATGGTGCAGACGCACAGCACCCTGCGGAGATACACGATGGCTGATCATGCGCTGGAGCGACGGCGCTGGCGCAGAGAGAGGCTCAGAGACAGGCGGAGGAGAGAGAGGCTGGAGGCGCTGAAACACAAAGTGAGTGTACTCACTTTCTACATCGGTCTGCATGGAGTGGTGCAATGCTGATGTGCTATAGGCGGACAAGGAAGTTGACATCATAAGGGGTACCTCAAAAAATAAGTAATGGGATTTGTGTTGATTGGATTTTGGAATATTGCAGAAAATAAAACCAACATTTATAATACTTAGACGTTTTGTTCAGTTGGATAAACTTCACATTATAACACCATGTTATCAGAATCAGGCTTATTGCCAAGTAAGTTAACACATATGAGGAATTTGCCTTGCTGTACATGGTGCATACATAAACACAGTTAAAGAAGATACAAAAAGTATGAAAAACAACCCAAAAATTTTAAAAAAACAATTGAAACTATTATACGTTTAAAAGTATACTATTGCTAAGTACTTATAATAATAAAATCTAATCAAATATGTGCAGTATTGCTATGGAAAGTGGATGAAAGTCAGCGTGTCTACAAATGTGCAAAATATTGGACGGTTGAACAGAACTGGCAAAACTTAAATGAAATAAATAATAATAGGATTTATGTATTAAAAAATAATGATAATAAATAAATAAAATATCTTGTCTACTTATTTATTTCGGGCCTTTCACCAAAAACACATTAAAAAACACAGTTGACTTGGAGAGGAGGGAATCAAAATTGGTATAATGCTAACTCATTCCAGGTTTTTAGGACTCATTCCTGCACCACCACATTGCATGCAGCCTCCTAACTGTATCTATTGTTCTGATTGCAGTTGATCACCAGCGGGGCCATGGACCAGGAAGAGGCAGACCGGCTCACAGTGGAGCAGGTCCCAGAGGAAGACGTCCCCATCAGTGATGCAGAGCTGGAGGACGGAGGGTTCCTCCAGCCATACTCCTCCAGGCAGCGGCAGGCTCTCCTGCAGGCGGCGGGGGTGAAGCGCGTGGACCGGGAGGAGAAGAGGCAGCTGCACGCCCTGCGGCTCTCCAGGGAGGCCTGTGGCTGTGACTGCCAGGGCTTCTGTGAGCCGGAGACCTGCGCCTGCAGCCTGGCAGGGATCAAGTGCCAGGTACGACACTGAGACCAAAACACGACTTCATTCACTAAAAGCATAGAGCGGCCCCAGCACACTTTATGCTGCATGAATGAGACAAAAAATATTTCAACTTTGCAGTTTGAGCTTGTTAAAGGTAGGTAAGAATGGAGAAACCAGCTCGAGTGCGCTAGAATTTGAAAGTACACAGCCAAAGAAAATCTGCCCCTTCCTTTCAGAGCCCCTCCTCCAACACACACAAACGCGCACATGACCAATGAGGGCACGAGATAAGTTTGTGCACAGATGGAAGGCTGACAGGCAGGCAGGCCATCCAATCATTTTAGCCGGGCCGGCTCAGATGATTGGTCGTGCTTTTTACAGCGCCACGGCTTCCACAGATTAATTTTTTTTATGTATTTATTGTCAAAGCATTTAATGACAAATACCAAATAATAACAAAAAGTGTTTCTGAAGTGAATTACCTACCCCACCTTTAACACTAGAACCGCCAGAGGTCGCTGTATACCTAAAACCGCCAACGGGTCAAATTTACCCGCTATTGATTTTCAAGGTACAATGTTCTTTTATTTATCATACAGAACAGTGAGTTTGGATCGCACATGGATGAAACTTATACCAATAGAGTCTGTGGAATCTCAACTTTTCATATGATATAGTTTGTGCAGATAGCATGAAGTATAAAATATTGCTACCACTGCTGATTTAAACGCTTGGTGTTAGACTTGTGTTTTGTTTAAGTACAAATCTCTCTAGCTCTCTCTATCTATCTGTCTATCGGTCTATCTCTCTCTCTCTCTCTATCTATCTATCTATCTCTCTCTCTCAATCTATCTATCTATCTATATGGGACCGCAGTAGACACAAGGCATTGCTATAGCAACGCGTCATGTTTACGCTGCATTTTCTATAAGGTAAATATTACCCGCTGGCGGGTATAGGTATAAATGGCAATTTTTTGGGCGATTTTTTCAATCTGACTTCATATTGACAATTTCTAACAACAGAGGGTGCTACATAACACACTTTCAGGAAAAGTGACCTACAATCAAAAAACAGCTGCGGGTAAAATTGACCCGTTGGCGGTTCTAGTTTTAAGCATCTCATATGAATTACAAAAAACGTGTGTTGAAGCAATTTTGATATTTACTTTAGGAAAGCAATTTATCTATTGTCTTAAGTTTAATGTCTATTAGCCAAACACCATCATTCCTATCTTGTGATTTTAAGCATTAACAACATATCTATCAATTAAAAAAACAGTGTACATATTTATGGATAATAAAATAAAAAGAAATACAATTACTCAAATAACTATTTATTATTAACAATTCAGCATAATCATTACATGTACATACTGAAGCTACAGCTTACTATGCGGATCCCTTTTACAGTACAGATCCCCGTATTTCACATCAAGCGTAGCAAAGAAAGAGACAGAAACATATTCACAACAATGTGGCTTTCTGATCATGTATTTGTCAATCAACTCTTTTTTAAAGGGTGCACCACATTTTCACACTTTTAAATTGATATATGTACATTTATTTACATTGGTCCTGTAATTTATTATTAAAACAAACAAATGCCTGTCAAATCATATTGACTTTCTCTCGTACAAAAAACATGCTGTATTTGAGGATTTTAGACATATCACTCACCAAATGCGTGCTATAATTTTGCTTATCACTGCAGTAATTTAATTGGAATCTTGCAAATCACCTTTTAATTTAAAACACATTCAATCCCCCTCTCTGATGGTAAACTATTCATCGTGGTGTTAATACTGTGTATTCCTGCAGCCTTACTTTAACTTCCTGTCTTTTACTCACAGGAGGACCGCTTAAACTTCCCGTGTGGCTGCACTACGGACGGCTGTGGGAACTCTCAGGGCCGCATCGAGTTCAACTCCAGACGTGTGCAGACTCATTACATCCACACCGTCATGAAGCTGGAGATGGAGAGGCGACTGCAGGAGGAATCAGTGAGCCAAGAGGAGCAGACGGGACTCCCAGAGGACCTGGAAGTGTACGGGCAGCAGGAGGAGGCCGATCCGGGGCAGAGCGCACAGGACCAGAGCTGCCCCTTCGGCTTCACCTCGGAGGACGGCCTTCCTCTCACCATGCCCACAACGCCTTCATTTCACTTCCCCCAAGAACGGTTGTCGGTGGAGGAGAGCAGTTGCAGCAGCGACATGACCGAATCCTCCTGCTCCTCCTCCGACTCTGCGGGAGGATGCCTCGATGGGAGTCAGGACCTCCCTGATTTAGATAGAGGGTTGTCACTTCCCCTCAGCATGTGTGAAAATAATAACTACTCTGCGTGCAGCCAGCTAAACCATAAAGTACGGCAGACAGGAAACCTAGACTTCTTTGACTCTCTGGAGGGCTTCCCCAGCTCCCCCTCCCCCACCCTGGACTATTTTTCCGGCAGGTACATGGACCTGAGTTTGGCTTCAGACTCCGACATCGAGTTCTTCGACAGCGACTACACCTCTGGACCTCTGCACAGCTCTTTTAAACTTCACAGGCACCCCGACAGCTTTTTCCACCTGCAGCTGCTGAGCTCTGTGAACCTGCCGCAGTACGAGTCCAGCACCTTCCTCCTGGAGTCCCTCATCGGGCTGACGGAGCCCGACCCGGATCAGGGGTAGCACAGGGCAGATTTTATAGCCACGCGTTCTAGGGACATGACTGTGTAAGATCATTTAATGTACAAAGCACTGCCTATGCATTTGTAATAATATTTCAATGGAAAAAAGGAATCATTGATAAACTATTTTTCCTAGCTGGATATATTTTCTATTGCCTACAAATATTTGCCTTTATTTTAAGAGAAAACGCACTTGAATAATTAATATGTATTTTTATTTGATTTCCTGATATTTTGTATGTTATTTAATTTCTTATACCGCTGATATTTCTTGGTCTCGGCTCTGTTGCTACCGCTTCATCATTGTAAGTTAACTTGTTTTATGTCATATTTATTACAAAGGTCACAAAGGCAATAAAGCATTTGAAAAAGTGATGCCCCACATATCATGACACAAATGTGCATACTTTGCAAGTAGCTGGCCATGGTGCGTAAATCCACTTTAAAGCAGCCAGTAAGTCAATGATAACACTCCTCCATTTTGAGCCTTCGAGTTGTGAATTATTTTCTACTGCCTTTGCTGATTGTGGATTATCAAGTATCTGCTTAACAATATGTTATAATATTTTTGTATCGGAGTAATATAATAAAACGTTTTAAATGTATTCACTTTATTTATTATATTTGTGTATTCCATCAAGACATATTGAGTTTGAATGTTTGGCCCTCAAAAGATTTCCGAAGCACTTAAAAAATATGCAACATAATTATAAATAGTTAATACATTCACTTAAATGTAATAATAAGATGCTCAATACGCTCGACTGTTGGAACATCTTTATTCAAAGGTTATTTTAAAACGGTACAACATTTCTCCAATTTGCACTTTGACGCTTCACTTTTTTAAAATGGTATACCCTACAATTATTTTCAACTATTTATTTTATGACACGCTGCAAAATGACGTTTCTATGGCGTACTGTACTCTAGCTTTTTTCAAGAATCTTAAATGGACTGCATTCATATAGCATTTATTTTCAGTCTTTTCGACACCATAAAGCACTTAAATGTATACGAGTCATATTTCACCCAGTCACACACACATACAGAGGCAAGGGCTGCCATGCAAGGTCCCACCTGCACACACCTGCACACAGGGACGCCGCCAGGGATTTTGGGCCCCATGAAAAGATATCACATTGGGCCCCACCACCAGGCACAGGCCACGCCAACCAAGCACAATTGCTGTAACCACACCTCCAGAACCCAACCGACTCATTTATGCTTTAAATAACTCTACCTGTACAGGCTTGCATATATCTTGTAGTCCAATACT